GTATGTATGGGCGCATGCGTGCACGTGTGTATGGTGTATCCTGCTTGGGCTTCGTTGCTGTGTGTCATCAAATTTGTAAAATAGCCAGCCTTTATTTCTTTGAATGTATTTTAAACTTTTCCTGCAACCCCCTTTTATCCTTCTGTTACTTCAGTCATATTTAAGTTCGATTACTTAACATTGTCCCACAGGACACAGAGGCTGTTAATTTATTATCAATCTTTATTTTACAATCTTTATTTTATTCTTTAAGTTGGATATTTTATTTTGCTTTGTCTTACAGTTCACTTATCTTTTCTTTCATAGTCTGTTTCTTAATGTGTTGTTCATTCCATCTAGTAGAATTTCATTTTTACATTTTTCAGTTCTAGAAGTTTTACTTTCTTTATATCTTACTATTCTTTCCTCATTATGTTCTTACTTATCTTTTAATTTCTAACTATATTTAAAATTTTTATTTTAATGTCATTTTCTGCTAATTCTATCATTGCTATAATTCGTGAGTGTGTTTTTATTGTCTGAGTTTCTGTGGTTTATGAGTTACATTTTTCTGGCTTCTTTGCATGTCTAATAATTTTTGATTAGATGATGGATTATACATTATTGAGTGCTTGATTTCTTTGCTTCCTTTAAAAAGTATTGTATCTTGTTCCGGCAGACAGTTAAATTACTTGCAGATCAGCTTGAGTTTTTTCAGGCTTGTTTGTAAACTTTGTTAGAACAGTGTGGATTAGGCTATGCTTCTTGTTATGTCTCAAAATATTTATAGTATTCCGAACATTATGTACAAAATAATTAGTAGAGACTGAAGCATACATTTCTGTTGTGTTTTATTTCCCAAAAAATGTGATTCCTTTTTTTCCTCTGTCTGGTGGTTAAGGCTCAGCACATTCAGACCTGTCCTGGAGTTAAGTTGAGCAGGAGCTGGGCTATGAATAGCCCAACTTCCAACCTGCTGAACAACCACTGTTTTGATATTTCAGTATTTGAACTGGAGAAGCATTGACTGAAGTTTCAGATATTTTTAGTTTATATTTTATTTAGTACTGATAAGGTTCTTGTACATGTAACTCTGGTAAACTCACTGATGAGTTCTAGTAGTTTTGGGGCTTGAGGATGGATTTCTCAGAATTTTCTACATAAATAATTACATCCTCTGTGAATTAAAGTTTTTTATAAACTTCTAAACTTTGCCCTTTTTCTCTCTTTATTTTTGTCTTGTACTGGCTAAGATTGCTAGTAAAATGTGTTAAAGTAGGGAAAGCAGACATTTTTGCCTTGCTTCTGAAATAACTCAATATTTCATCATTAAATATACTATAAGCTGTAGATATTTCAAGAGTGGTTTTTTTATCTGATGAAGGAAAAACACTTATTTTCCTAGTTTGACAAGAGTTTGTATCCTGAAGAGAAGATAAATATTGTCATATACTTTTCTGCACCCATGGAAATAATATTCTGTTAATATATTGAATTACATTGATTTCCAAATGTTAAGTCAGCTTTACATTTCTGGCATAAACCACACTTGGTCATGATTTTTTTTTATTGCTGGATTTGATTTGAGAATATTTTGTTAAATATTTTTTCATCTATGTTTATAAGAACTATAGATTTATAATTTTTTTTTCTTGAAATTGTTTTTGTCAGGTTTTGGGTCAGGGTAATTCTGGTTTCCTACAATTGAGTGAAAAATGTTTCCTCCTGTTTTTTTCTGAAAGAATTCATAAAAGATTGTCATTATTTTTTCTTGAATGTTGCTAGCATTCACCAATTAAACTATATGGCCGTGGGGTTTTCTTTTTTGAAAAGTGTTTAATTATGAATTCGGTTTCTTTAATTTATATAGAACTATTCACATTTTCTATTTTTTATTGGTTAAGGTTCTATAAATGTGTCTTTCAAGAATTCACTGATTTTATCTATCATTGAAATCATTGGCATAATATTGTTCATAATATTTCTTTATTATCCTTTTAATAACATTAGTACCTCTAATGCTCATCTTTTGTATTTCTAAATTTTCTCTATTGTTCATAGATTTTCTATTCAATGATTTCTGCTCTTTATTATTTCATTCTATGTACTTTATGTTTAATTTGCCTTTCTTTTTCTAGTTTCTAAAGGTGGAAACTTATATCACAGATTTTAAATCTTTCTCTTTTTCTAATATAACCATTTCTCACTAACCACTACTCTATTTGCATATCATAAGTTTTGATTTGATGCCTTTTTATTATCATTGTCTCCTAAATATTTTTTATATTCACTTGTGAGTTTTTTTGACTCATAGATTATTTAGAAGTGTGTGCTGTTTAATTTTCAAATTTTGGGGATTTTTTAAATATATCTATTACCATTGCTTTCTAAATTTATTGTAGTCAGATACCATACTCTGTAAGATTTCCACTTTAAAATTTATTAAGATTTATTTTATAGCCCAGCATATATTCCTTTTGGTAGATGTCACATGTGTACTTGGAAATATTGTATGTTTTATAATTATTGGGTGTTAGTGTCCTGTAATGGTCAATTAGGTCATGTCAATGATAATGCTGTTTAAAACTTATGTATATATATTTAAAATTTATCTTTTGTCTACTTTTTTCTATTGGTTACTGTGGAAAGCATGTTATAAAAGCTCCAACTATGATGATGGACTTGCTTGTTTCTTCCTATAATTCTGTCAGTTTTTACTTTGTTTATTTTGTAGCTTTGCTTTAGGTACATATACAATTAAGGTTGTCATGTCTTCCTGAAGAATTTGTTTTTCATCATTTTCTAATTTCTCCCTTTACATTTGTTAATAGTCTCCATCTCAAAGCCTATTTTGTGCGTTGTTGTTATAGCCTGAACATCTGTCTTATGTTTACTATTTGCATGGTATGACATTTTCCATTTTTTTACCCTCATCCTAATTGGGCCTTAGCACTGTTCAGGTTCTCAGGAAGCAGACACTGAGATGGAGGTTTGTGTGCAGGAGTTTATTGTTTGTGCTTTTAGTATCAATAACTTGTGTGGACATGAAGAAAGCAGAGTTGGACTGAGAGTTCAACTGCAACAAAGGTCTCATCTGGTCTTATGGAGGGGCCCGAGGCTAGGATGACTCTTGTGGTAAGAGGATATAGTTTAGTCATTATACCCCTACACCGACCAGTCAGATGGGGGCTGCCCTCAGAAAGGGTGTGACCTTGGGCAAAGTGACTTTATTTAGTTGAGGGCAAGTCCTGGAAAGAAACTCAATTGAGAGCTGCCAGTTGGTAACACTCCCAGCAGCTGTAGGAATGAGTTCTTCAGTCTTAGAGCTGGATGTCTGGGTCATGCACTGTCGTATCACTCTGTGCTTGTATTCAAAGTGCTTCTCTTATAAAATACCCTATAGTTAGGTCTCAGTTGTGGAATCTAATTTGGCTTTTCATTGGAGTGTTTATTCCATTGATATTTAGTGTAACCATCCCTGGCGTTGGGTTTGAGTGTGCCATCTTGCTATGTGTTTTCTATTTTTCACATATGTTTTTTGTTTCTTTAAAATTTTATTTAATTATTCTGTTGGCTTTTTGTTCTACCTATTGGTATTTTTCTCATTAACATTTAATGGTAATCACTTTATGCACCCTAAACTTACCTCTTACCCAAGTTTAACACCTCGTGCCAAACGAAAGAACCTTAAAAATATATAATTTCACCCCATCATCCTTTGTGCTGTTGTTGTCATATAATTTCATTTCTATACCATATTGTAAATCCCACAATACAGTGTAATTATTTTGGCTTTAGTAGGCTATCTTTCATGAATTGAGAGAAAAATAAAAGATAATCTTTTGTGTTTACCTATATATTTACCTTTATTTTACTCTTCATTCCTTCCCATAGGTCTGAGTTTTCATCTGGTTCTTTCTGTCAGCGGAAGGTCTTTCTTTAGTATTAATACTTTTTGCAGTTCAGGTTGTTGGTGGGAAATTCTCTCCACTTTTGTTTATCTTGTATAATTTCCTTTCTTTCATGAAAGCAAGTGTAGCTTCTTTGGGCCACTGTGCAATTCTTTTTTCTAGTTTCCTTTTCAAAATATGGTCGGCCTTTCAAGAATCCCGGTTTTATTTTAGATCTCAGTTCTAGCACATTCCCTGGAACATACGTAAGTCAGTCTTCTATTCCTGAATGGATATTAAAAGTGTTACAACAACTCCAGCTCTCAGGCCTCAGGCTCATTTTTCAGCCCCCTGGGTCAACAAGGTCAGCTGGAAGCTTCTGCTCTGGTTTTGAGTTCACACTTTATTTCTGGCTACTGATTTCTTCCTTATTGATGGCAGCGGATGCCAAGTTTTGGGAATTAAACGTTTGCAGAATTTCTAGTGTTTCTTGCAGAGGTGATCAATTTGGGAGGGTACCTATATCAGCTTAAACTGCCAAGATGACAGCGTCTGCTTTTTTCCTTGCATTATTATATGGAATTGTAGGATTACAAATAACAAACAGATCATGAAGCCTAATGTATTGTGGAGGCTCCTCTTATTTATTTTTTTACTTACTTACTTAATTATTTTTAAATGGACTGGTATGTTCACATGGTTAAATCTTACCTACCGGTTTCAATTCTTATTGTGAGATCACATATGTGCTCAGTAGAATAATATTATGTAATCTATTAGAAAGTAATTGCTGAAATTTCAACTTTTGCTCTGCTGCTTCCTGCTCTAACAGGTCTATGGAAATGCAGGACCTAGCAAGTCCTCATACTCTTGTTGGAGGTAGTGATCCTCCTGGTAGCTCCAAACTGGATAAATCTAATCTCAGCAGTACATCAGTCACTACAAATGGGACAGGAGGTAAGTGTACCACCCTGAAGATACCCAGAATCACATCGCAGCATGTGCTTCAATTTTACATGTTAGGGATCTGCTAATAAATAGCTTATCATCAATAACATAATCACCATTATATCCAAGAAATACATAGTTAACACGTTATTTATTTTTCTATTGATTTTCTTGAAATTTTTGCTCTTCCTCTACAGCTGGAAATGTTTAGACAGAATAGTGTTGAGAAACATTTGAGGGCCTTTAGCAAGGCTCCCTTTTTGTGTTTGCCCTTGTAAATATCCCCCAAAATTTAGAAATTGAGGCCAAAGGATTTGTACCTGATATTACCAAAAATGTGTATATATGTATATAAAATTTTCCATGTATATAAAATCTCCCCAACACTTTTTGGCTTTATGTTGAATTGTAATAAAAGGTTACCCCAACATTTTTCTTAAAACTAGTTTTTCATAAAAATGATTTTGGAAATACAACAATATTCATATCTGCTGCATTTTCTTTTCAAAGAGAATAATACCTAATATTTATTTTAAAAGGAATTGCATTTTTTCAGATAATTTCTCATTTGATTAGCCCATAATTATGCCACAACATATGACAACAATAATAGCTATTATTTCAAATATTCTGCTTTATTGTTTTTATACAATGCATATAACTTGTTCAGAAAATATGACCCAATTGTTGTATCACAATATGTATGTATAGAGACTATGTATATATACACACATATGATATATATGTTGCATTTCAAATTATTCACAGTAATTTTGAAGTTTTGTAGAGCTAGTCAAGTCAATTAATTAAAAATTATATGAAATTTTTTGTAATTTATAAACTATTTATATTACCATATATCAGCATTTGCCACATCATATTTTCTTTTAAATTTTAAATAAATATCTATGAAATTGATACACCTCTTCCCATATATTTTAGAATAACTGTGCAATCTAAAATTTTCTTTGTAAAGTTGTGTGCATTGCAACTTACCTGTATTTAATAATGTTTTACACCAAATCCTTTGTAGATTAACATTTTCCTTGTTTATAATGTTTATTTGTCTCTAAACATGCATCTGTAATTTCAGCTAATTATGGGATTGCAAATGTGTAAGAATATTTAATGATGACTACTGGAGTAAGAACATTTACATTTAAACCTAAAGTTGGGTACAAATAATAAGATTAAAAAACCCAAGCACTCTGGAATCAGACCTTGAAGTTCACCAATCATCATGTACATATATTTGACTGAACTAGAAGTAGTTTATTTTAGATGAAATAAAATGTAAAAGTCACATAGTGCAGTTATAATTTTGGCTGAAAGGTCAAAAACCAGTGCAAGCATTGAAGATTATTCATGTCCACTCAGCAGACATTCAGGCAATGAACTCTTATACTGTTCCTGTTCTCAGGGGACAACATGACTGTTTTAAACACAGCAGACTGGTTGCTGAGTTGCAACACCCCCTCTTCTGCAACAAGTATGAGAGCTGATGGTACACTGCATGTGTTTGGGTGTGTGGATTTGCCCCTCTGGTTTGCCGTCTATTGCTATTTCTGTGTTTGCACCCTTTTTCTGGCTTCAGTACTTATAAAGAGAAAGGAGAAGTGAACATGCCCTTTAGTTGCTTTTTGATAGCAGTTGGTTACAGTTTTCTTATCAGTTGATATTCTAATCTTAGATTTCTTATATCAGTAGTAATTCTTTTCTTAGATTTCTTTTTTATAATTCCACACAAATTATGCATATATTGGTTTTTCTAACTACTTATCAGTTTATTGCATGGTTAATTCAGCCGAAAAAAAGTCATGTCAAACAGAGCAATGGAAGCAGGGTGGGCACACACACATACTTAATTACCTTCATAACCTGTAGACTTTCATAATTTAAATTAAATTTTTAACATGACAAAAAGATATTTGCTCTTTTATAGACTTTGATAAATATCCCAAAGTATCTAAAGTAACATTCAATCTAAAGTAATACATCAATATCCTATCTCTTTAAAAATTATCAGTGATGAAAACTATGCATTTAAAATTATAAATTAATATGGTCTCTTAATATGTTTTGAACTATAGATGTTAACTGCATTCATACACACATATAAACAAACT